GGTAATTTTTCAAATTAATTTCTCTACTAATTGGAATTTTCTCTTACAGCTTGAGCCTAAGTGTGTCGCAGGATACCCTCTAGGTGATAGTTTTTTATTACTTTTTGATAAATAATTCGTTCTTATTGCGAAATAAGAGCCACTATTTGTCAATCTGTAATAAAAGACGTGAGGAAATTCTGTCTTTTTTTAAAGACAAAAATTTTTTGGGGCAAAAGACCCAACAGGAAGTTTGTAAAAAAAATTGAATATACCTACATCATTCGAGGTTATGATAACAGTCAAAAGCAATATCTCTTTGACAAAATTGACAATTCGAAAAAGTACCTACGTTCCACATTTAACTAATCCTGTTGAATCACCCTTTCATCCTTATCTATTTCATTGTCACTATCTGTATTTTGACTAATGACAGAGATAATTGACTTGATTTTGAATTTCCCATTAATTTTCTGAACTGTAGCAATATTTGACAGCCTGACGTTAAGTTGTCAAACTGACAAACTGCTGCAATATAATTTATCGGTCCCCGGAAAACAGACAAAAGTTCTATGAAAAACTTCTGGTATACGCGAAAAATTAGTGAATCTTAAAGTTTCAGTCATTTAGGAGTGGAAATGGATGGAATTCCAATTGAACTTAATGAGCTGAGCAAGGTAAACATCTTTCATTATTGACATAGGGACTTTATTATTAATATTATTGACCCAGGGAGAGAAATATAGCTTCTCACTAAGGAAATGAATTAAATAATGGTTACTTATCAGGTTAGTAGTCGAAAATATATTATAAAACTATTTGCGGTTGCTCAAATTTGAAAAACTTCTCCTTGTAGAATCACTCTGTGTAGAGCAGGGGCGGATCCAGCTTTCTAGTCGGGGGGGGGTCAAGTGGTAGAAATTCAGTCTTTTGTTGTCTATGAAATTAGAAAAAATATCGTTAGTCGACATACACATGCCCCCTCTGGATCCGCCCTTGGTGTAGAGTGTTTGAATCTACAATAACATTCAATAGTCGGTGAAAGATCATAACTGCCCAAAAACGCTGAAAATTGTGTATAATTTAAGGCCTTTTTTTAAGCAATTTATGGCGAATAAAAAAGAAAAACTAACAGCATTTTTTGAAAATTAAACGATCTAAGAATATTTTCAAAATGCAAAATTCTGAGCCAAACCACTGTGAAATTCCTGTGAGAAACCGTATCAGATAAAAATCAATTTTGACCACTGGACAGTATTACCTAAGCCAACTGCATTAAATAACTACCCAAGCGGTTAATGCCGATAAATCGAAGTACCCAAGGGAAGTCGTACATTCCACTCATTAATTCCACTATAATGAATAATCGAAAGCCTTACAAAAGTCCAAATTTAAAGGAAATAACGATTTGGTAGACCCCAATGAATGAGCAGAGTGACATGCCCGTATTGTGACGGTTTCGGTCAAAATAGGCAAAATTTTCGATTGCCTATTATAATATGCCATTTTCCCCATTGGTTCGTATGCATCTGTGCCTCTAAGCGGATTCTAAGTGGAAGTCAATTGGCGGAAATGCGACAAAGATTGACACTTTATACCTCATTATTTCTTCAAGGGGCTCGAAATTTGCATGAACCCGGATTTTTTGCCTTGTTGATTGCCATTCGAGATATGCAATTTTTGCTTTTCATTCGGAATAGGGAAAAATACCTGAAAGGAATAACCGTTAATAATATTCCCTGGACAATGTTGTGGGATAGATTGTTGACAGGAGGCGGCTTTTTGTGCAGTTCACAATTTGCAAGCGAGTTCATCTAAAACTTTTCGGTTCGTTACATTTGGATAATTATCGAATCGAACACAATCGGCGGTTTTTTACCCAAAAAAAATTAACGGATTTGTGCAGTAAACAACTGGAGTATTTTTGAACAGTTGGGGATTTTACTGTGTAAATTGTATAAACTACTATAAACGTTGAAGTTGGTTGGTAGGTTGGCAAAACAGGGCAGTGGAAAGAGTTGGCCAGTTGCCTAAGAATTTGGAATAATCCCACAATTTCTGATGAAAATGCAAAAAAAACCTTTCAAGCTTTCAGTCCAGAATATTCCAACGATGGAGCGAATTAATTTTACTTTGAATGTATCGAGTGACATAAATTCCCGCTTGATGATAAGCATTCGCAATGTTTAAAAACTCTCTTTGACTTGAAGCATTTCTCAGGCAGAATTCCGGCGATTTCAGCTGAAAAGTGAAAATTTCGGAGCTGATAAGGCAGTGGGCGGCGCAAACGCAACCTGCCTGATCAAATGTCCGGGAATATCATTCGAATTTTGAAATAAAAAAATATATGATCAGTTGAGTATTGTTTTTATTTTTTTTTAATTGGCTATATACAAAGGCCGATCCAGCTTTCCAGTCAGGGGGATCGGGTAGAAGAGATTCAGTCAGGACAGGCTTCAATTCAATTAGAATATGTAATAAAAGTACTATACAGGGTGTCCACTGGAAACCGCCGCGATCGATATCTGGCAAAATATAATTAGGAGAAATTTGGAAATTGATAAACAAATAAGTGTCAATATATAGTTGAGAAAACCGCCCAAAATCAATTTTTTTGTTGTCTATTCCAAAAGTGTTTAGTTTTCGAAATTTTGTCAATTTAATGTTTTCATGTGGCTATACTTTAAAGAAACTTAAAAAATCTTCAGAGCGGTGAGGGAGGCGAGTTTTACAAGTAGATGGTTTTGTTTTCTCTTTGTTTCCATTTTGTCCCAAATTCAAGCGAAAAACGGGTATTGGAAAAAGTTTTTTCTCGATCGATCTCTTAATTTTTTTTTGCATAAAAGACTCTTTATAGTATTTTACGTTAAAACGTCAGGAAAAAAAATTTCATCCAAAATTCGAAGCTGCAAAAGTTTTCCGAAACATTTTTCCAAGGCGGTTAAGAAGGCGTGTTCCAATAAAACTTATTTTAAAATTTTCCACAAAAACTACCTGAAGATTGTCAATATTTTTAAGTAAA